GCCCTAAGAGGCAAGCAGACATGCCGCCTGCCCTGTCCTTCCATGCTTCTTTGTGAGTTCCTACCTCCTAGAGGAAATGTGACCCAGTTCCTTTGCCATCAAGTCAGGGCTGATACAAAAGGACACATCGTGACAGGAGTGTGAGCTAAGCAGGCTCAGGCTCTCTGCTGTTTAGAATGTAAGGAATCCTGACCCAGACACAGCTTCAAAGCCAGCCTGAGCAAGCCCTTCAAGGGAAAGTACAATCTGCACAAAAATCTTTGAAGGAAGCAATCAGGGAAATGGTTGCCTGGAGGGAGAGAAAAAGACAGGCAGAGGCAGGATAAACTGGGGGGCAAGACAGAGCAGGATAGAGGGTGAGTTACAGGGAATTTAAAACGAAATTGCTATTCAAGCTCTAAATTAGGATACAGCAACAAAGTGCGAGAGTGAAATGCCATCTTGGCTCAAGCACAGGAACTTCTGTTCGGGACGGTATCTGGGTGACTTAGCACTAACGGTTTGTTTGGATTTTCTGGAGACCTAGAGCACTTTGTTTTGAAAGACTGGGGTTGTTCCATACTAATCAACATGCATCTAGTGTAATTATAAAGGACCAATCCAAGGTTACATTAAAATAATAATACTTAGTTTTATATTTTGGGGAGATTCTGTTAGCAATATTAAGAAATCCTATAACAGATCTGCATCTTGGGCTGAATTCTTATAAAAGCCAGTTCTTCAGATCTTTCATGTTAACACACACATGCCCAGCTATCTGAAATATTCCACTTTTTGCTAAAAACTTCATTGTGCTTCCACCTAGGGCCTGTTCTTTTCCCCCCACCAGATTCCTCATCGCTGCCTCTCCTCCTTGCAGTTGATCCCCTAATTTTCCTGCACCTTTTGTTTTGCCATTTGTATCCAGTGCCCTCCCCATTATTCAACTAAAATGTCTCTCTCAATCGGCACTAATCTCGGCCACTTTTTTTTTTTTTCATTTTTCAGTATCTCCCTACTGACTTTATTGCACATTTTAATCCTGCTGAGCCCTCCATGAGTCCTGACGCTCTGATGCTGACTTCTTGGCTCTGTAGTGCCATGGTTTCCTCCTGGTCGTCTCTGTTCTCATCACGGGCTGAACATCCTCGTGGCCTCCAGGTAGGTGACCTCCCTGCTAATTCCCCTCACTGCTGTCTGATACAGTCCCATCTGTACTTAGGGTCAGTATTCAAAAATATAAAAATTGTGTTCATCTTAAATGAGACTTAAAAAACTTATAAATCAACTATTTTATTTGCAGGGTTTCAAAAAATAATAAAGTTTAAAAAAATTAATGGTATATAAATGATTCAGAGAAGAAAATCAAGAGACTGAAAAAAAGTTAAAAACCCCCTAAAAACAAAAAAACAAAAAAAAAACCCAAGAATCTCAGATACATACATTGCCACAAACCGTTGCTGAGGTTCAGAGCAGTTTTAAGTAGAAGAAGCACAATACATTTACCCTTTTAAAAAGAACACTATAAAATGGACCAGCAGCTGAAGCAGATAGCTCTCACGTAGCTGTCTGCACTGTTTGAGTCCCGGACGTGGTGGCTTGAAAAACACCAGCTGTGTATGCCTGAGTGCCCAAAATCCCAAAGAGAAAGGAGGAGAAGGGATTGTGGCATGACTATCGCTCCAAGGAGTAATTTTTTTTGACAATGGGTTAAAAAAATCATTTTAAGGGCCCAGCAAGTGGCATGGTGTTTAAAGTGCTGGACTCCTACATGGTCTACCACGTTTCAAGTCCTGAACCCAGTGGTTTGAAAATTACACTGGGTGTGTGTTGCATGCATGCCCAAAATCCCAAGAGGAGAATGGAGGAGAAGGAATTGCCATGCAACCATCCTCACTGGGAGGCAGTTTCTCACTTTCCCTCTCACTGTCTCTCTCTTGTGAGAGCACATGCCCTACAGCAGAAAACTTTTTTTTAAAAAAAGAATTTATGCTCATTTCTTATATTAATTTGCTTCTCCTTCAAATAGCTTATAAAGTAGAACAAATCACTGAACATATTTGGAAATACTCATTTGTAAATATAGATAATGCTAATAATGCCTGCTCTAGCATTATCCTTTGATAAATATGGCATTTATGAAAGAGCAGTAGTGATAACAACAAACTATACCTAACAGTGTCTATAAAATTCTATTACATTCTTTTGTTTCTAACACTATGTTATTCTTGATAAAAGATAAAATAAAAGTGGTATAAAACTATCCAGACAATACACATTTATAAATGGAGTAAATTTGCATAAACTAGTGGTTGAACTTTACAATTTAAATAATTTCCTCCATAATTATCATGAAAAATACATAAGTTTAAATTATTCTTTAACCCACCTTCTGAAATGCAAGCTTTGATGGGGTACAATTTCAATTTGAAGCATTATTTTTAAAAAGCCTCATTTGAATACTTCTTCATTTCAGCTAGTATCTGACAAGTCTCTCATAATTATCGTACAAACCAGATTAAGTGTTGTGGGTGGAGAGGAGACAGAGTTCAAATGCATTTGTACATGATTAGATTATCATGCCATAAGAACATCAATGGTAGAAAAATGACAGCCTATGCTTATGTTATGTGATAGTCAGGCCCTATTTTGTTCAGGATTTATTAATGATATGAATAAAAACAGAACATAGTCTTATAAATTTTAAAGTAACATAAAGCTAGGAGTGATTTCACTGTAAAACAGGATTCAAACTTTCTAAAGGGAACAACAAAAAGACCTGAAAAAATAGAATAGTTTCAGAGACCAAAATTTCTGATGTGAAACTTAACTACAAGAAGGATCAAATCCTATTCAGTGACTTCTTATGTGTGTGTATTTATATTGCTAGAGAGGAGGCGTGTTTGCCAGAGAAAGAGAAAGTGAGAGAAAGCACTCCCGGTGGGGCATGGTCACATTGCAATCTCTTCTCCATTTCTCTATCCCCATCAAGATTGTGGGTATGCATGCACATGTGCCTGGCACGTTTTTCAAGCCACCAGGGCCAGGATTTGAACCAGGGTAGGCCATGTGGGATCTGGCTCCCTATATACAGAGCTTAACTACCAGTGACAGGGACAGGTTCCTGCCTTATGATTTAAAATGCCAACAACAGCAGGATAGATGAAGCTCTGACTTGGCAGAGTTTTCATTAGAACAAAAGGGGAAGAGGATTAAATTGACCACATGCGTCAAAGAAGCACTGGTTCAGTCCTAGACTGTGACAGAAGCATGGTGCCTGGGGTACTTGCCACGTTTTACTCTTCCTAAATTAGACCATATATCGTAAATTAGACTACCTTCATAAATTAGACTATCTTCCTGACACCTCCAGCAGTTCAATTAAATTTTTCTGGGAAAACGATTAGCATGCTGGGCAGTCAAGAATTCAGTGGATAAAAGAAAGAGTGAAGAAAATTGGCATTTTATTACCCAAAGGTAAGCCTTAGTAAAAATACACCATTGGACCCCACGTATTTGAAGGACTCTGATATATTTGAGTGAACTGACTTACTTGCCAGATAGAATAATTTGAGATAATTAGGAATACTAAAAATACAGGTTGGATTAATACTGGAACAGTAGATGGCATAATGGTTATGGCACTGGACTCCCACGTAGTCAATCACCGTTCCAGTACTGGACCCAGAGGCTTCAAACTCACGCCAGGCGTGTGTGCATGTGTGTCCAAGATCCTGGGAGGAGAATGGAAAAGAAGGGATTGTAGCATGGCCATCCCTCCTGAGGGGTGATTTCTCACTTTCTGTGTCTCTCAGTCTCTGGTGAGCACCCTATAGCAAAAGCAAAAGTTTCTCTCTGAAACAATAAATCTCTCACACAGTGGAATGATAAAAAGAACATGGGATCTAGAGTCATAAGTCCAAGTTAATTAATTATTATTATTATTTTAATTGCCAGAGAGAGACAAAGAGAGTGAGAAGAAGAGGGAGAAATCACATCTCAAGAGGCGTGGTCATACTGCAATCCTCTATCCATTGGGACTTTTTTTTTTTTCTTTTTTTTTTGAAGAGGTGCGCTCACCAGACAGATAGAGACAGAGAGACAGAAAGTGAGAAATCACCCCCCAGGGGGATGGCCATGCCGCAATCCCTTCTCCTCCGTTCTCCTCTCGGGATCTTGGGCACGCATGCACATGCGCCCGGCATGAGTTTTAAGCCACCGGGTCTGGGACATGAACTGCGGTTGACTACGTGGGAGTCCAGCGACATAGCCATTATGCTAACTGCTGGTCCCCATCCATTGGGACTTTTGACATGCCCACAAATGTGTGGCATGTTTCTCAAGGTGCCAGAGCTGGGATTTGAACTTCAGTTGGTCGTGTGGAATCTGGTTTCCCTTATCATTAGGCCATAACACCAGCCCAGAAGCCCAGGTTTAAGCTAGCCGCCTAAACTTGCTCAGTCGCAGTATCCTTGTCTATAGCAGAAGTTGATCACTGCTCTATTTAGCACACAGACTTTTCATGGATAATCCTATGAGAAAGCACACAGAAAGATGTGCTGAGACTTAAACTGATTTGGAAACAGTAATAACAACAGCAATCCACAAGAATCAGATGTCCGCGTTCAAGAGAAGCTGACCAGTTGTGACAACGGCGTAGGGGGTCCTTTCGCTGGTGGATGATGAGACTGAACTGGACAAGAGCTGGAAGGTCATTGTTATATTTTCAATTGTAATTACAATTTATTTGCTTACTATTTTATCTCCGTGACAGGCAATTAAGTAGCAATAAAGGAGAATTAAAAAGAGTCACTAATGTCAGCTTTTAAATTTGGCTAAAGAATGGAGTTAATATCCACACTCTTTACAGAATTCATAAATAGGCTAGACCTTTACAGATACTCATCAATTTAACTCGAAACCTAAAGATGTGACCAAAGCACTCTAGGTCAAATGACAGCTAATTCATTATACCCAAACTATACCTCTACATTTGTGCAACCAATCTTGAAAATATACAGTTATCTGAATTTAAAACCTCTGTGTCGAAACCTCCAGTCTCCCATTTCAGCCTTTGGGTAGCTGATACTCCCCTCATGCCCATCTGCTAATGATATTTTGGTTTCATCTCTATTAGTGTTCAGAAATGAGGAACCCCTGAGTTTGTAACGCTTGCCAGTTATTCCAGATGTACTTACCCTTTGCCCTTCTTTTCCAGGAGGACCTCGGGGACCTTGCATTCCCAGCGAACCCTATGAGGAAAAAAAGACACATGGTAAGAGACTGTTTCAAGTACACTTGCCTCACAAAGAATATTGTGAAAATTAATACTTATTTCATTGACTGAATCGACTTTCCATGGAATTTGAGCTCTGCCAAGGTAAAACTACGAGGTACATTGATAATGATGAATTGCCCTTTTTTGACTGGTTTATCTTTATAGCTAACTCTGAAAAAGAAAGCAATTTCAAAACAGGTGTGAGATCAAAGGCTCACTCCCACTGAAGAATTCCATATGGTAAGAGCCACGTTTTACCAGACTATCATCAATAAACGGCAACAAGAATTGCAAGTAGAAAAATATTTCCTTATGTGTTTAAATTCTGTAGATCAGACGATCCCATTTGTTTAGAGTAGTTCTGTATCTTCTAAGAAATCACATGGTTATGATGTTGCCTTCAAACACGTTTATTTATAACATGTAACTTTTAGTATCATAAACGTTCTTTAATGGTTTTTTCATCATATTGTCAAGTGGTAGGGAAAATATTTATTTTTTCTAGATCATAAAACACCCCAGGAAATCCCGAGTGTTGTTAATCTGAGTCTCCTGATTGTTACAGATCATTATTATTATATAGACATTCCTACTCAATAGGAAACTCAAAATGATACTACTGCTATTCTTTTTCATCTTCAGCCGTCATTACCGTGATTTCTTAGTTTTTCCTGCAGCTTCCTTCTTCCCTATTCAACCTTGAAGTGGGAGGGATTTTAGGTTCACTTTCCTTTGAGGCCACATTCTCTCACCACGCTCTCATATACTTGTGCGCTTGAGATTCTCGAGGCCAGTGGTCCCAGATTTATAACCCTGGTTTATCTTCTGGGGTGAATACAGGTGCACACCCAGCTGCCGGTGTCACATACCCCCGTCATTCTCACAGGCATCCAACTAGCATGTAAACCACTGGACTGAGAACCCTCCCTGCAAAACTAGATCCTCTTCCACATCCCCCAGTTAAATATAGCTGTACAACACCCTCTGAGTTCTCAGGCCAGAAATCTAGAACGCATTGTCCATACTTTCTCAAACTTCTCCCTCACACCCAGTTACCAAACCTAGTTGATGCTATTTTACTCCATTCATGCTATTTCCATGATCATTTTTTACTCATTTGTTTTCTTTTCTTTTTTTTTTTTTTCTTTTTTTTTTGAGAGTTTTTTGCTATAGGGCACGTGTGTACAGACAGAGAGACAGAGAGATAGAAAGTGAGACATCACCCCCCAGGGAGAATGGTCACACTGCAATCTCTTCTCCTCCATTCTCCTCTCAGGATCTTGGGCGCACACGCACACGTGCCCAGTTTGAGTTTTAAGTCCCCGGTTCCGGAACGTGAACTGCAGTTGACTACATGGGAGTCGAGCGACATAGCCATTACACTAACTGCTGGTTCACTTCTTGCCCATCGGTGGGAGTTTCCTAAGTTGACTCTCCTCACTTCTCCCTCCATTCTTTTCCTCACAAACTGATCTTTAGAAAACCCAGCCTGGGACCAGCAGATGGCATAATGGTTATGTCACTGGTCTCACACATGGCAGATTGCGTTTTGAATCCTGGATCCAGAGACTTGAAGTTCATGCTGGGTGCTGTTCGTGAATGACCAAAATCCCAAGAGGAGAATGGAGGAGAAGGGACTGCAGCATGACCATCCCTCCTGAGGGGGAATTTCTTGCTTTCTCTCTCTCTCTCTTTCTCTTTCTCTTTCTCTCTGTCTCTCCAGCAATTACATGTGCCCTATAGCAAAAATCTCTCCAAAAAAAAAAAAAGGAAACCTAGCCTGACCTTCCCTGACTCGCCACACAAAAAGAATGCCTTGTTTCAGTTCTACAGTGCTTTGTACTTCTCTTTTTTTTAAAAAAAAGATCACAAATTTGTTTAAATTATTTTTTATAATGATTTGTTTCACATTCCAGGCTCTAAGCTACAACAGATAGAATTTGTGTCGTGTGTATCGTGGTATGTGTCCATTAACGGCTCAAGGACCATTCACATCGGGAAATCAACCTACTCTAGTAAAAGCTTTAGAAGAAAAGTTGTAAGTTCCAAAAAATTTTCCAAATATTTGTGATTAACATATTATATCAAATGGCTTAAATAATTTGGGATAAATTTTTAAAATCTAATAATGTGAGGCCACTTCAGAAAGTTCATGACATAGAATTTAAAAATTGTATGCGTCTATTTTGATGCAAAAAAAAATTGAAATCTTTGCGTAGTTTTTTTCATAATACTCATTTTCCATGAACTTTTGGAGGCCCTGCATACTAATTCAAATAGATCTGAGTTCATGTTTATTCAAAAAGAAACATTATTTTGCTACCTTATTTTAAAATAACTAAGGAGCCTGCCCATAGGGCAGCAGTTAAGTGCTGTGTACAGGGAGTTGATTCCACATGGTTGACAATGGTACAAGTCAGCCCAGCATCTTGAAACCCATGCTGATCTGTCCCCAATCCTGACAAAATGGAGGGGAAAAAAGGATTGTAGTGTAGCCACACCCCATTGCTGGGTACTTTCTCCTCCCTCTCCCCTCCCCTGCATGATAAAGAAAAAAAAGACATGGCTGGGCCAGCCCTGTAGCCTAATGTTAGGGGATTCCATATGATTGACTGTAGTTCAATCTCAGCCCCAGTGGCTTGAAAAATATACCAGGCACATGTGGATGTGTGCCCAGATTCTAACAGGGTGGAGAAAGGGAGGAGAATGTGGTGTGATTCTGCTCCATTGGTGGGGGGGCTGCTTTCTCCCTCTCGCTGCCTCTCTCTGTCTCTCTGGAGAGTACATGTGCCCTCTGGCAATGAAAAAAACGTGGCTACCTTTAAGCCAAAGAATCAGATGTGCTCATGGTGACCCCTAATTATTTATTATGTGTATATTCATTTTAAAGTTTTTCATAGAAACTAAACTTTTATGTTATACATGGATTATTTCAGTTTCTAATTTTATTTCAAATAGAAGAAAGTGACAGACCTATTTTAATTTTTTTATTCTGATAGCTTTCATTTGATTAAAGTGATCAAAATTCAGTATAAATTATTGTAACTCATTTTCAGAAAGCATTAGTCCAAAAAACTGCATGTGTCCGCAATTCAGTGTTCCTCAACTCTTTCTGACTCTGCTCCACAGATGAATGCAATTTATGTATTTGTCATTTTCATTGCTCTTATCTACTTTGGAACAATTTAATATTACAGAGGCACACGAAGTGTAGTGTTTTATCAATTTAGGCAGAAATAAAAACCAGGGAATGAAAGAGCAGTAAGTTCTGTTTATGGTTAAAACAAAAAAAAAAAGACCTGCCAAATTATATGTAACCAAGTTGACTAATTAGGCCAACTTGAGGCTAGTAAATTCCTAATGTTTATAAGAAAAACAAATGTTGAAATCCAAACACACAGAGTATTAATTACAGTACCATCACAGAGAGTTGTGTTACTTTTTAGAAAATTGCCACAATCTTGGCTCTAGATTAAAGTCTTCCCTGTTGTCCTCAGGAAAACTATTATCATTTCATCATTAGTCAAACTAATATATAACATTTTTGGTAGTTATCCAAATGCTTACAGCTCTTCCAGTGTTTTTAAACTAGTTACTAAAACTCACGCACCAAACATTCATCAAGGGAGTAAGTTTAATTATAATAAAGATCCACACCCTTTACTAGTTGGGAAATAATGCAAAAATATCACATTTGATTTAGACTGTATTTAATGGGTTCAAAACCGTTCATGAGAACCTTTCTGTGTGAGGCTCAAGGAGTAGGATACAGTATCAGCTCACACATGAAGTCTCTTGATGTGCCTCAACATTCATTATTCTAAAATAATGAACCTCATCCACTCTTCTAAGTATAGGGCCCATGTAGGAAAATTAAAGATGGGAAATTCTTCTTAATCCTTAGTGAATTGTTCACTATTTGAATTATCTATGACCAGTTTATAATCTAATCACGCTGCCCTAACATTTGAACATTTTGAACTGTCTTTAATGAACATTAGTTGACATTTACAAATGAAAATAATTTTAATGTTGTCCTTAGTAAAACATGAATCAATCAGCTATAAAACAGTAATATTTTTTACTCAAACTAAGAATTTAAAATATGGAAATGATTCAATATTTACAGTGATCTGAGTCACTACCCCTCCCATTTAGTAAAGTCAAACAATGGTTTTATATATCAATTATTATAAAAATCACAGACATACCTAAGTTTCAGCTTTTCTAAATTAAACTTGGATAGAGCTCAGCATTTATCTCAGAATACTTTCCACGACTCTTTCTTATTCTTTTAAAAAGTCATTATGCGTGTACTTCATTTTTGCTTTTTGTTTTTTTGTTTCGTTTTTTTCTTTTTTTTAAGAGGTTTTTGCCATAGGGCGCATGTGCTCGCCAGACAGAAAGAGACAGAGAGACAGAAGCGAGAAATCACCCCCCAGGAAGGATGGCCATGCTGCAATCCCTTCTCCTCCATGCTCCTCTTGGGATCTTGGGCATGCACGCACACACTCCTGGCATGAGTTTTAAGCCACCGGGTCTGGGACGCAAACCGTGGTCGACTACATGGGAGTTCAGCAATATAGCCATTACACTAACTGCTGGTCCCATGTGTACTTCATTATCTTCCTATTGAGCTGTGAATTCCATAGCATAACGACATTTTTTTTTCCTATTCCCTAGTAAGTTATTGAAGGAACTCAATATAATACTTGGTTTATTGAATTGAAAAAAAAATCACCAGGATAGAACAATCCTGGGTGTTAGTGGTAGGGAACAGGTATATTCTTTATATAAGATCCTTTTCACTTTTAAATCTTGGACTTACATACTATATTAAAGAACTTTCTTTCCTAAGTGTCAAGTGATCATTCCACTCTTTCAAATCTAAGAGTAAAATTGCCTTAAGATAATCATTTTCCATCTGCAACATCATATCTCTTTGGAACTTATTCAAATCTTTGACCACTAACT